CAGTCACCCACCACCATGATATCGACTGGTGCAAACACCACGGACCTCGAAATTCGGAAATGGCATCGTTGATTTGAATCGCCCTGCCGAATTGCTGGTCAAAGGCAGCCAGATGACAGCTGGTACCCAATTGTATTAATAGGCAGCCTGCGTGAATCTTCCAATGCCTGCAGAGAAACACTCAGCTTTGGCTGCAAGGGCACATGAACAGATGCCAAACTACCACCGAAGCGAGCGCACGCACACACAGACACAGAGGTTCCAATCGCGAAAAATAAATGTCGACATGCAGTGTCAGGCCATTTCAAATTGGAAATAGCAACGGCAGTAAATTATTAAAGGTATTCTATTGCCGTGATGATGATTTCATACACACAGAAACACCAAGATCATTCCTAAAATGCAATGTGTGTTAATACCCACAGACAGTTTCACACGGACCAACTTGATTTCTGTTGGGGGTATTCAGCCAGTTACAGAAATACCTTATTCCGATGGCTGAAGTCACTCAATCAGGGCAACTCGTGTTTCCATTGCTAAGAGTGTAATACGAAGCTCTTCAGTATTTCACAGACATCTTTATTAGACACTGACTATTTAAGGACAAGCATTGTATGATTTCGAAATACCAGAACATCTGAGTACGTAGTTATTTCAATTCAAAGACTATTTTAACGCCGATGCCAGCATTAAAAACGGTTCTTTGTAAAAATCAGGGTTTTTTGTGTCAAATTATTTCCAATCAGTCATAGGAGTACCTTGGCGTTCCCAGCCATCCATGACTGAAAATGCTCCTACGGCACTGTTTCGGTGTTTGCGGATGGGGCTTGGCTATAGGGCGGGAAAATAGATTAGCGGATTGAGTGTTTGCTTTGCAAACATGAGATTGCAAGTTCCAATTCTGCCACAAGCATGCTTGCAAGGGCAAGATACATGTGTGCCCACAGTCTACAGAGTCCTCTTGGTGAAATTGCTTGAAGAGAATATTTATAAAATAATGAGTTCAATATATAGGCTGTGATGTACACACGAGACACGTGTTCACACGTGTGTACACATCGGTGCACGTGCATAGATGTATGAATGCAAATATATTGAACGCAGTGTTATTCATGACGCCTGCTATCTATGACATCCAGATAAATTGCAATTCTTACTGATATCTATAGCTGAGTAACTGCTGCTTTCTGATAATTTCCAGACAATAAGGCGATGAACCAGCATGATGTAGAGATAACCCGATCAAAGGTTAAGCTTCATATTAAACATTTTCGGAGACAACTGAAACCGTGCGGAGATTCTGTCCTGTTGCCTGCAATACTGTGATCTTTTTGGGTTGTTGTTGTGGATGCTTAAATGGAATTCCTGTTATCCACAAATGTACTTGTGGCCACTTATATCCCAAGTATATTTGATAGATTAAAGGTGGTTTATGATGTGTAAATGTATACATATATTGAAAAGTGGAACTAATGAATAATATTCTTGGAACGCTGGCAGTGCATAAAACATCTTACGAAAATAAATCAGCATATTTCTTCTTTCAAATCTATATGCTGAGGATATACACAGAAATAGTGGACCAATTACCTTGGTCAATATTTGGCCACAGCTATGTATAGCATGTGAATTGTCACTTCTGTGCCAGATCTGGTGGAAACCACATTCAAACAGTATTGAGGGTAGTCAGAACTGTGGACGTGAGTGAACACGCGCGCGCGCTGTTCGCAACCATCTATTAAGGTCCTAATGGAATGCAAGTGGATGGGGTGATCAGTGCCACACCTGACTGCCTTTGTCTCCCCAGTTCACACGCACACACATTGCATTGGGTGATCATTTAGGACCGAGTCAACCTAGGCAGGTCAAGTTTCTGGGATCATACACACTGCATGTGAAGTATTACACCACCGCAACTCACACATGCACACAAAGACCCCCCCCCCCCGTATAGTCTCAACAGACTTTTGGGGCAAGTGCTGTTAGCGAGCAACTATGAAGGCCGGCACTACAAATGAGGGGGTGGGTGGCCAGCACCACGCCCGGCCGCCTTAGCCTCCCCCGTGCAGATGTTTTTACACACCGCACCAGCTACTCATTTGAGGCTGAGTCGACCTAGAGGAGGCTCATCACTGGTTAAAATAATCGTTACTGGCGTTGCCCGTGAGCGGGAATTAAACCCGGTTCAACGATTTCACAGCGCAGCACGCGGTTACTCTATCGCTCCCCCACGAACATGCACATGCACACATGTGTACACACAGGAAGTGAGTGCTACTCTAAGATGTATCCTAGGGTTATAAATGCAGCTGTTTGCTCAGGCAGCCTAAAGTGATCATGTTTGCTTACTGCTTCCCTGAAAGGAAAAGGTTTTTTTCATTATTCATTTATTCCCAGCCTGGGGCAGAGGCATATGCAGGCACATCCCATATGAGTGCAGATCTCTTGTGATGTATACAAAATAAGGCTTGTGAATATGGGATGACGGATTAGGAATAAGCGGTTGTTAAACTTGATTTCCAATTGTAAGCAAAGGCCACGAGGTTGCATATTGCGAACAGCATCTGCACACGGGCCAACATTTCTCAACACGACGAGGGTTCACATAAAGCATCCAAATACACATTTTTTTGACACGAACTAGAATTAATTGCCAAAGGAAAATTGTAATTAAATTTCACCATAATTAAGCATGGCTCATGACCACATTGTATTCTTACACGAACTTGATATAGGAATTCTGGAACCTGTTTATCCAATGTTGTAATGTAATATGTAAAGAGAAATCTGTGTTGCAGACACAATGTTTATATTTCACCCAAAATGCCCTCGGATAAAGGGAGGTCTGGCAACGTATGTGAATCTTCCCTTTCCATTACACGGTCTCATTGGGCTCTACCATGACTAAAAATAATACATTCTATATGTTAATAAACACATATACATTCATACCCGCGTAATACAAACGTAGCTACGCACATACACAGCCATACATGAATGCATCTACACATTCATCTATAGTTCCATGCGTTCATCTTCTGATAAGCTATGTTAGAGGTATACTCCTGTGGTGTTTCTAATTCTGGAGTACATTGCTAGTTGGTTGTTTTTGGTATTATATTCGTATTTACATTGTAAGCATATGAATAGACTGCGCTAAACAAAGACTTTTCTTTAATTGTAAAACGCACACGCAGAACTAAATATGTGGCCATCTGACCCTGCCTAATCGCATTATTCATGCGAGCAGCAGTTGTGGAAGCACAGGCAGGGTCATCTATTAATTTTTTGAACAATGTGCATTTCCCTAATGGTGAAAATGCATTGTCTGTGCTGAATGTTCATGTACACATTATGAGCCGTGAATAATTCTGTCAAATAGTATGCGGATCAAAACTCAGTATAACCTGACATAAGTGCATGACAAATCCAGTTGCATACATTAATCACCGATGAGCATTCGTTAATAGTTTCTAACTGACAAATTTCCTTTTGAACTCGATTTCCTAAAACGTTCTTGCATATTTCATAATGCACAAATGCGAAATATGAAAATCATTTAAATTTTGTCGGTCAACATTCTACAGCAGAATAGATATTTGCAGATGCGCACCCACGCTTGTACAACACACCATCATAGCTATAATCTGAGTGTGAGCGAATATACGCTGATTGTTAAAGGCATCACTGGAGTTGCTGCTTTCTTTGTTTATAATGCAAACCCATTGACCTACCATTTGCACTCCAGCCATGCATGTTGAGAGGCATGCAGGGCTGGCCATGCATGTACTGTATACACATTCATTACATCGATTCGGGGACAGGAGAGATGAAACGTGCGCGCATCTTAATTCACGCTTCTACGCATCTCCCTCTTCATCTTTTGTCCACGTGAGAGGTCAGATTCTAGCACGGAAATCCCACGGAAATGCTATTCTATCGCAAGCGTTCGGTCGATGTGTGGGTGTCTGTGAATGCATATTGAAGAGACTGACTGACTGCCATATATCTCGGGCTGCCTGTTGAAATGAATGAAAGTCGGGAGAAAAAAAAATATTTGGTGCGGAATTGCAATTATATCATATCTGAATGCCCTGTGTGATGTGTTATCTGGGTGTGCGTGCGTGCGTATGAGCATGAGGAGACACGCACACGTGTATTTATACACACACGCACACATCGCTCTGTACGATATCGCCTCTATATTATAGAGCACATGTTTTTCACACGGGGACAACAGATGTCGCATTATTCCTTGACAGATTCGACTCGAGTCACATGAATGTTGTCCCTAATGAATGCGCACATCACCGCTTGGGTTTTTGATGCGTACGTCCCTGTGGTGCGAATCACAGATTTGCCCTTTAATCGCGGGGTCTCCAGCACACGTGCCTATTTTAACATCCCCCCACCCTGCCGTCCCCGCCTTTATAGCACTCGAATAATTTTAACCAACATGTTTGTTTTTGGACAAGCTTCAACTGCCCGCAGGTGTAATATCTGCATAAGCGCAATTTTATGAGACAAAGTGCGTGTTGGTCCTGGGATGTAAACAAACGATGTGTGGGGAAAGTCTAAACATAGCCGGCCAGGAACTCTTTCGTTTAACGTTTTATTTTTAGAGGAGAAAAACACTCACCATGCCTCCTTCTGTTTATTTCTGCCTCTGACAATTTCTTTAGCAACCGAATGCGATCATAGAACGCTGGCTCCTCAATTGACACATTTGACGGATCAATTAAAACACAATCACTAGTGATGATGCATAGCGGTTTGACACCAGTGATGCGCGCAACGTAGTATTTACAGCTCCCCCCCTGCCAACGTTACAGCATGCTATCAGATGCGCACACTTTTAGCGGACGACAGATAGGGAATAAACACATAGCAAAAATAACCCTCTTTATTTTCTAAACAAGAACTACACAACATGGGAAGAGTTGCTGAGATTAAAGTGCTATCCTAATTGTGTCGATTAAGAAAAAGACGTTGCAGCTCACCGGTCTCAATGAGGAGGGCAGCAGTGATGAGCAGCACGAAAAGCTGGCAGTGTAGGATCCCTTCCGACATGGTTGCACGGGAAAACCAACGAGCAGATCTGCAAATTGCTAGAGAATGAGAGGAGCGTTATCCCGATGTAGACCTTTGGAGGTGGTGGTCCTTTTATGAGCGAATCGCACATCTGTCCCTTTGCATCCTTTCTCCATCCCAAGGAGCAAACCATTATCGGCCGGGAGGCAGGGGGAGACGCTACTTCACGATTGGAGGATGGGTTGGCTCAGCGCACCCGTTCGGCGGGGGGTTTTTGGGGGGTGGATATTGGAGCAATGCTAGACGGGCGCATTTGCGAAGGCACGCGCAACGTTTTCTCGTGCCGGCTACGCATACAGATGCGTACGGAGAAGACGCAGTGACATTAACTGTGGTGTGGCAACATCTAACTCCAAAAATAAATAATGCGAGTACATATACAACACACGCTCATAATACACACGAAGCAAGGTTTTCTATTAAGCCGTAATAATACACAGAGGTTTTTTTTCTTTTCTTCTAGTTCGACTGTTGGGACAAGAGCTGGTCGTGATCACCCACGAAGGCTGGCAAGGCACATGTGCATCTGAGAGCGTGGCATAGCCAGAACCTTCGACGCCTTTGGCCGCCTTTCTCTCCCCGTTGCTCATGTCCACACACTGCACCAGTCGAACTAAGGGAGACTTGAGCAGGATTACAAACCACGTGCAACTGATGTGCGTGACGGGGACTCACAACCCATGTTGTCAGGAGTGTCGCGCACCGTGCTAACCACTCCAGCATTACTGCCAACAGGTACACACGCAACACCAATACAAAGATCACCCTTATACACCAAACAGAGTGTTGGGGAAAGTTCTGTTAACGTGTAGCGCATTCGAAGGCCGGAACGGCAGACGAGGGGGGGGGGGGGGGTGCTGGGTGGCATATGCACGCACGCACAACGAAGCAATGCAGGCTGCTACATTTTGACAGCTTTCGAAATAATTGCACAACGCGGAGCGTGAGGTGGCGCGCGCTCCGTTGTAATCGGGCTCGAGGTTGTGAAGACGGTGGATCAGTTGATGATCCGCGCAGGCACTGGATCCGTACGCAGCAACATGCTGCTATTGTGGTATCGCTCATCGTATCGCGGACAGCATATGGTGAATTGATTGGCCTGGGTGTGATTAAAATAATAATAATCGTGCAGGGAAGCGAAAACACCGAGGAAGAATCCATTAATATAGGAAGTAATACATTAAAGATAGATTCCCCCGTGCATCCTTTGCAGACTGATGTGACAAGTGATGTTAGTGAGCACCTATTAAGGCAAGAATGTTACACGGAAGGCTGTCGTGGCTGGAACCACGGCAGGCTGCATTTGTCTCTCTGGTGAAGTTGTCTCCGCAGACGAATGGGAGACCTCGGGCCGATTCTGTTAACACTTTGTCACTAATGTTGGTGATGGGTAGGAATCAAACTCAGGTCGCCAGGTTTGTATAGCAGTGCTGTAGCCACGCATGCATGCACACACGCACGGACTAATTTTCACACACGAATGCATTGAAAATATTCCTCGACGTGATGAAAATGGCTATTTTATTCACAGCATTAATCATTAATGTTGGCTTATAACGCAAACTAAATAAATAATTTGGCAATGAGAATGTATCATGGAAAATATTTGTTCAATATTTGATTTGTTCACGTATTGTTTCTAACGTGTAAAAAAAGAATGTTGCACAGAGAAAAGCGTGCACTCACACGTGCGTGCATAAACAACTGTGCGCAAACCCGCATAATCTGGTATGAGTGTATTGTGCGTACACAAAGCATAATTGTACATGCGTAAGCAAAACCTGATTTGAATCACTGTGGTTAAGTGTTGTTTTTGAGTGCCGAGTAAGGGCAGCATATTCTACATGGGAAGGGCGTTAACGGGGAGGGAGCCAGCACAACACCTGCATGTCCACACACTGCATCAATTAAAACCCGGATTCTGTATTTCAGTCCCCAGCACTGACGTTGACACGTCAACCTCGAGATACCCATTTTGGGATGAGTTGACCTAGGGGATGGCCTGTGTAGATTCGGTGCAGGGTTAAAGATATTGCAGGGTTCAAAATTTGAACCCTGCTTTGTCGAGGTTATAGTGTGTTGGAATAACTGCGATGACTCAAACTGTCTCCGAGAGCGGTGTGCAGATAATGAAATGCACATTATTATTACATTTGATTCAAACTATTACCAATCGATGCATCTAATGCACTTACGCCACGACAGCAAAGAGTAGAGACACTTTAATAACAATTCCGTTTACGATTCAAGTACAGTCTTTTACCATTATCTGACCATTAAGAGAAAGACAACAAAACTGCATTAATAAATAAACGTGAAACTACGATAGATTTATACACGATTTAAAATCCTCGAAATGGCAATTATGTTAACCGTTGACCACGTGTCTATTTTGAGCATTTATACGCCTTAAATATGTTGCATTGCCAAAATAAAAGCAGTATATATCACTATGCATGAAGCAGTAAACCCATTTTACTTAATTTAAACTAGCCATGTGTATAGAGACCACCTGCCTACAGAGACCATGTGATGTGTGAGCCTTGTATTGTCACATCCAAGACTCGCCCTATTTTTCGTGTTTAATTTAGACTCTATGTGGAACGTGTGATAATGAATGACATTACGTTTAGAAATAATTACACACGCATGGTGATGAAGAGGTGGCACATTTCAGTTCCAAACCATGGCTCACATCAGTGGTGTTGGATAATCTGAATTGGTCCTGCAGTGTAGTGTTTTACAAAAGCAAGCAAAATCAGAATGTTTTCATTTTCATACTGGAGAAATCCGATGAGCTTTCAAGCTCTTTTTCTCAGATGTTCAGTATATCATGATTTTTAAGTCATGCACGTGTGGCCAACACCGCGAATGCCTCATTCGTGATAACCTGTAACACACCGCACTACGTACTCCTTTACGTTTGAATTGACCTAATGAATGCCCAGGACTGGATTATAAACCGTGGAAGGAAACCGAACTCATTGCACAAAGCACTGCCAGTGCTCATACATAAACATATGCGCACACGAAATGCACACATACCCACAAACAGACTACGTGGCAATCAAAATTGTCTCATATTAGAGCTTAGAGTATTGCTCATGTCTACTAATCGCTCTGCATAAGCGGTGGAAATTCCAAATTGCTATGGTGAGGATCACCCTGTGCACGGTCCAAACACTTGCCAGCTGGCTGGAACATTCAGCTTTTTATTTTATTTTCTGCATGAGAGTACACAATTCCAGATGTATTATTTCAACGTCGTCCTTTTGTGCGGTCGTTGTATCAGCAACAATTTAAACTTACGCACACATCATGCGTCTGTGGTTAGAGCATGCACACACATTTGCACATACAGCATGCGTGCGTGTGTGTGACCAGGGGTCATACAGATCCTTTGTGGAGCGACTCATGGGTGGTGCAACCATAACAATGTGACATTTTCACTGCTGGTTTGAGGCCACAAAGCAGGAATATACTTTGCCTTGATTTGACATGAATTTGAACACTATTTCCAGTGCATGCATTGTGAATACGAATACTGCCATATATTGTATTCCAGTGGCATTGCTATTATAACATGTGCCGATAACTAAATGTGTTAGAATGCCCTCAAACCCATCAGTGTGGATATGCCTTTGATGATTAATCACCATGCACAATAGCTGTTATAGGCTGCTGTGGTTGCTCCAGCGTGGGCAGCTGGGGGCAGTGCAACGAATTCCATTGCTACCACAACTGTGCTGCCCATCCTTCATTAATCCCACGTGACCAGCGTGGTGAAGTATGGTTAAATTACCTCCATGAGATATACAATGTGGGGAGGTCAAAACGGCTGTAATTGCACGTGCATACGTGCGGACATTTGTCTATCTCAGAGGGATATGTACATTGATTCACAAATCACAATCGTAAACCTCGTTGTAGCTAATTGCCGTGGGTTGCAGTTTAATTATTTTGCATTTCAATGCAAAATGTCATCCAAATCATGATTTTTATTGTATTTAAATGAGGTAATTAGGAATTTGCACGCGGCAAAATTCACATGACCAGTCATTACTGCACCTCGTGTGTATGCAAAGGAAGGTATTGATAGCCTGATACAACACATTAAACATAGGCAGATACACACCACACTATACCACGTGATATTATATGATATATTTTTAATTTTCAAAATAAGATTAGGATTATACTGATAACAATGATTTTCTTCATAGTTTGTACTGCTGACACCCCAAAGCATGCAAATAAATGTGTGAATATTCGCATGGGCATGCTGCATGTGAGTGTGCAAGCATGCCTTTTGTTGTATGTATTAAAATATATACGCACTGTACTGAAATGACAACAATACAAATCCTGTAAAACTGTAGAGGTTATTCAGGCCAGAACTGTTAGCGAGAAGCTATTAAAGCTGGGAATGTGCCAAGGCGATGGTTTAAACAGCAATATGCATAGGTGGTCAACCTACAATTACACACAAAGTGCTTGCGACAAATGAACCACAATACCTTGTAGATCTCGTCAAGGAGCATAAACCATCACGTGAACTCCGGTCACCCTCGCAGTGGAGTTTGGCTAGCCATAAAGACAGTCACTGCATCGCGCACTTTCAGATGGGCTTCTGCGGCTGTCTGGAATGATCTTCCGATATTAGGAAGCCACTGGAGCGATTCACTTTGAAATATATATTGAAAACGAATTTCTTTAGAACTGCTTTTAATCTTATTTTTTTTTACTTCCATCGCAACTCCGATTAGCACGGTTGGTTACGTATGGTGCGAAAGAAGTTGAACATACATACTCAAGCTAGCTAGGTCAGGTTCAGATGCAAATTGCCATTGACATGCATGGTTGAGAAATCAACTCAATTTAAAAACATTTCTGAAATTGTACATAAGCAGGAAACATTCTGCTTTCTTAACCAATGTTAACATCGCCCAACATCCAACAATAGCATTGTGCAGAATGTTGATAGACTTACATAAAAAAAATGGCAATGAAACAGACATTTCTGTATATTTTTGTATTATTTAATCACCCACAATTAACCAAGAACAAACAATGACCAATAATTGGGTACACATATCCT